CCTGGGTGGGAGGGGCGCGAGGTGGCTCAGGGCGGGCAGGAAATGGCGAGGTCTGGGGGCCCGGCGCCCGTGGCCCTTGGTGCGAAAAGGGTCTCCTATCTGAGCCCCGGTGTCTCACCAGGAAGCTGGGGACTCGGTTTCTCCAACGGGGTCGTGAGGGGGAAGGAGCCCTCGTGCCTGAGAAGTATTTGGACCTGGATTAAGAATGAGATTCGGGAGGCTGAGGCAGGAGGATTGCTGCGAGTTCGAGACCAGCCTGGGCTACATAGTAAGTTCCAGAGCAGTCTGAGCTACATTATGAGATTCGGCAGCTGTAACCCCAGCACTCTGGAGGCTGAGGCAGGAGGATCACAAGTACACACGCAGTCTGGGCTACAATAATGAGTTTAAAGCCAGCCTAGACCACAGAGTGAGACCCTGTCTCAAAAAAATAAAGCCAGACCAAAACAAAAAAGAGTGTAGGCTTTAGGATCTGACAGCCGGAGTTTTAATCCCAGCTGTATTCTAATAACTAGCTGTGTGGCCTTGAGCAAGTTGCCAAGTCTCTCTGTGCCGTGTGTGCATCTGTAAAATGGGGAGAGCTAGGATTGCACTGGTCTCCCGGGAGGGTTGAGAGGGTTGAATGAGTTGATGGAGGGGATAGAGGAGGAACCCACTCTCTGAATGTTCCAGCCAGGGACCTGCAGCTCTACTGTCTGCCAGCTCCGCAAGGAAAAAAAAAAAGCTCAAACGAGCAGGGTTCAAATCTCACCTATGCCATTTCCCTGCTGTGTGACACCGGGCGGGTCGCTGGGCTTCTCTGGGCCCTCTACTTGTTTCCTGTGAGCCTAGCCTTCCCGGTGAGGCTGTGGGAAGGACGCTCTGAGCTTGGGCTTGATGGGGGCTGAGAACCGGGCCTGGTACGAATCCAGCGCCCTCTGGTGGCTGCTCTTGTTGCCCTCATTATTTTTCTTTGTTCTTTTTGCGGTACTGGGCTTTGAACCCAGGGAGCCCTGAACTACACCTCAGCTCTTTCAATTTTTTTTTTTTTTCCTCTCTGTGAGACAGGGTCTAAGTTGCCAAGGCTGGGCTCCAGTTTGCAGTCTTCCTGCCTCAGTAGCTGAGATTACAGGTGTGTAATTACGAGGGATTAACACCTGGCTGTTGTTATTGCTTTTATTCGCTGGATCCAGAAGGAAGAAGGGACCTTCCCGCAGAAAGGGGGTGGACGGCCCTGCCCAGCTGGTGGGATTGTGGGAGGGAAATCGGGATCAGGGTGAGCTGAGGGAAGGGTGAGGGAGGGGTGGGAGGACAGGGACCTGCCCAGAGCTTCCCAGCTGGGTCCAGGCAGACTATTTTTAGAGCCTGGCGGACTCCTGCTGCCCTGCCCCCTGGCTGTGGCTGCCACCCCCTCTCCCAATCTGGGCTCAGCTTGCACCAAGTCAGCAAGGGGACAGGTGGGCCGGGGTGGCCAGGAGGACACACACCAGGGCCTTGGGGTTCAAGGACATCCCTGGGCTTCTGTCCGGGACCCCTTCCCTTCAGAGGGTGTCTCCACCCCGCCCTGCCAGGGACGCCCCACAGGAGGGCACTGAGGCTAAATGACCCCCAAAGAGACATAAGCAGAAATAACCCCAGAGCCACACACACGCCTCAGCTCCGACTCCCCAGCCCACACTGTAACTGAGT